CCCTACAAAACCTTCCCTTTTCTTCAAAGTTCTTTGAGATTATCTGGAAGTGAAAGGTAGACTTCTTCATAGCTGTTTCTGGAATACACTGCATTGTGTTTGTAAGAAGAAGCATGGGTCGAATTTCTAGGGAGAATATGGTCAGAGTCTCAAGGGTTATTAATAGTTCTGAGTCCTAAAATATGTTAATCTTTAGGATTAGAGATTGTATGACTTGAATTACTGAAGGAAAAGTTTATGCAATATGCATGAAGTCCCAACATGTATTTTATCTGTTTTTTAAAAACATATTTACTCTAAGGAAATTCACAGTACTTTCTAAATTTCAGATAATAATGTTATTATTCACATATTTGAATTGTTTAAATAATTTGAATATTGAAGGGAAGAAAACAGCACAATGCCTCTTTTGGCAAGAATCCAGGAAGAGAAATGAACAAAGTAGTAACATGTGGTTGAAAAAGATAGTAAAGGAATTAACAGCGATTTTCAATATTTGCATGGCTGCCGTAGTAAAGATAATATAAATTTGTTCAGTTGGGTTCAGCGTCATTGAGGTCATTGGGTGGAATTTAAAGAGAGACAAATTATAGCCCTTCTTCCATAAATGTTTTCACAGTTAGACCTTAGAAGCCTTCTCTTACCAGAGAGGTAAGAGTCTCCAATGTTGACGGTTTTAGGCAGAGCAGATGATCAGGTCCCATGTGAGAAACAGATGAGTTTTATGGCTGAAATGTAAACTGAGACAATCTTTAAATCTCCAACAACTCTACTATCATGGTTATAAATGTTAAATGGACACATTTGTTATGTATGTTTAAAAAGCCGGCCTGAATGCTAAGGGAGTAAATTAACAGGTTGAATAGCTGTCTATATTCTTAAAACAGGTTGGAAATATGCCTCTTGACTTGTCTGTGGGACAGTTTTTATAGTGTAAGTTAATATATATGATTTTCTGCTCCCTACCATCCACTTTTTTTTCAGCTTTCTGTTTCATTCACTTCCCTGCCCTCCAATTCTGGCTTCTTCTTCGTCCTTCTCCTCTCTTCTCCTCCCCTCTCCTTAATCTTCCATTTTTTCGTTCTTTCTTATTTCGTTGCTTCCTTTATTTTTATTTCTTTTCTTTCTTCCTCTTAATTTTCTCCCTCTCTCCATTCCTCCTTTTATCTCTTCTTTGCTTACTTTCTTCTTTCCTTGTCCTACTATCTTTTCTTTTTCCCTTTCTTTATTTTTAATTAGAAGTTTCCAGTTTCCATCTCTGGAGATTCTTCTTAGCCGTAGCAGAACAGAATGAAAACCATACTTTCTCTGCTCTTGCCATGTTTTTCCTATTATCCAGGCTCACCATTTCAGTTGACTGCTAGCCTGAGAAATATTACATGGTCATAAAAAATGGCTTAACATTACCTCTCTCTCCAAATGATGGGAGCTAGTTGTGAAAGACCAGCACCTGTCACACTGGCAGAGAGAGCTTTTTTTTTTTTTTTAATGCTTATTAGTACACATATTTTGAGTCTAGATGTCTAGGACTTTGAACTCTGGTGTCATTGGTGTGGATGTTTTGATTCTCTTTAGAAAGTGGAGAAGTCACTAAAAATAGTCATTCAACATTGTAAATTTTGGTTCATGAATGTAATAAACAGAAAAATTATTTAAAGAAAAGCCCACTAGCTTATTCCCTAGAGTCTAAATATATATTTCCTTCCTAAGGCATGTTTATCTCAACTATTCCAAGTACATACAGAAATAAGTATTATTGAAGTAACTGGATCCAAATAATCTTTGATTATAAAATTACTCTCAGTAACATGGAGTACTGTACAATGTATTTTCAAATATCTCTAATTTTGCAGTAAGTATGGTGATAGGTTTAGGAGTATTGTGTTTCTAGTACTTCAGAATTATTACTTATGCTATTACAGCACATTCTGTTTACATTTTCTTTGTAGAAAGAAGAATTATAATTTTCAGATGATGATATTTGAAATTTTCTACCTGTAGTTTTAAGAAGAGGGATTTATATTATATCCATAGATACAATTATTTTGAGGATACTAAGTGACATGAACAACTCATTTATTATGTTACTTTTCTAGGTGAAGACCCTGAAACAAGAAGAATGAGAACAGTTAAAAATATAGCAGATTTGAGACAGAATTTAGAAGAAACTATGTCCAGTCTTCGTGGGACTCAGATAAGCCACAGGTTTTTCTCAATCCTGAAGATCTTTGAGAAATAAGGAAAAATATTACAGATATTTAAATTCTTTTATAATATCAGAGAAGAGATTCTTAATTATCCCTTACTATTTTTTCAATTAAATTTTACATAACAATCAATTGATGATTATTCTTAAACTGATAATTTTCACCACATACCCAGGGACGTTTTTCCTCTTATCCAGCTCTTCTTCTATATAATTTTCTGTTCAATGGAATTAGCTACTGTAACTACCACCATCACTACTAAGTGGATTTTTATGCCTGGCCTAGTTTTCTAGGCCATGGCAGAAGTTGCAGTTGAAATTCATCTGGGGGGACCAACAGGTAGTATCGTGATTAAGGTGCTGGATTCTCACATGTCTGATCACAGTTCAAGTCCCAGACCCAGAAGGTTGAAAATCATGCTGGGGTGCATGTGTGTGTGCCCACAGTCATGAGAGAATGGAGAAAGGATTGCAGTATGAGCATCCCCCTGGGGAGTGGTTCCTCACTTCCTGCTCTCTCTCTCCATCTCTCTCTCTCTTGCACATGCCCAATGACTAAACCTTAAATAATAAACAACAAAAAGGAATTTACCTGGGTGGGAGTGTAGGAAGACATTCAAACATGTTTGTGAGGGACCAGCAGATGGTGTAATGGTACATTGCTGGACTTCCACATAGTTTACTATGGTTCAAGTCCTGGACCTGGCTACTTAAAACTCATACCGGGTGCATGTGCATGTGTGCCTAAAATCCCATGAGGAGAATAGAGGAGAAGGTATTGCAGCATGGTCATCTCCCCTGGGGGTTATTTCTCACATTCTGTCTCTGTCTCTCTCTGTCTCTTTAGTAAGCACTAACATCCAGAAGCAAAAATCTCTCTAAAATTAAAAATTTCTTTTAGTTAACTTTCAGTATAAATCTGAGACGATTGGAGTGGGTGAAGTTAGTGGCTCATTGAGAATGTGAAAAAACTTTTTGTTTCATCCAAAATGTTATGAGGACCTTTCTTTTGAAAACAAGCAAACAGAATGACTATTCCTTTCTATTGTATGTTTTGACAACTACAGAGGTGATTCTAATCTCAAAATGAATATATAATTTGGCTTTCATAAGAACAGCATACTTATCAGAAAGGACACTAATCTCTTTGGTCTTCATGCGTTCTTAGCCTTTGATCCCAAGTGTGTAGTTACTTCTCCGTTTAAAAAAAATTTTTTTTTTGACAGCACCCTGGAGACAACATTTGACAGCACTGTGACGACAGAAGTGAATGGAAGGACCATACCCAACTTGACAGGTCGACCCTCTCCCATGACCTGGAGGTTGGGCCAGGCGTGTCCTCGACTTCAGGCAGGCGATGCTCCCTCTATGGGTGCTGGCTACCCTCGCAGCAGTACCAGTCGATTCATCCACACAGACCCCTCAAGGTTCATGTACACAACACCTCTTCGTCGGGCTGCTGTCTCTCGGCTGGGAAACATGTCACAAATTGACATGAGTGAGAAAGCGAGCAGTGACCTGGACATGTCTTCGGAAGTCGATGTCGGTGGATATATGAGTGATGGTGATATCCTTGGAAAAAGTCTCAGGGCTGATGACATCAACAGCGGGTAAGTGTTCTTGGGCTCTATTAGCAAGGGTGTGAAGAGGGGACATGGTCTACAAGGATGTGAAAGCTGTAAAAATAGGAATATGTAGATTTGCTCAGAAGGTCATTAGAAAAATGTGAGAAATCTGAGGTGATTTGGGTGTTTCAGGGCCTTTCTTCTGCTCATTCTGGAAAAGCAAAATGCCCAAGTTTTCTATAAATTCTTTTCATTAAAAGCTGCTACATTTTTCTTTTTAGTTTGGAGACACACATGGGGCCTGTGCTTTTTAGAGTGATTTTCACATGCTTCTCAGTAACAGATTTTGTAGTGAAGGACGTGGGAAGGGGACAGGAGGAGTTTTGCTGAGCTGCTTGATTTTTTTTTTTTTTTTCCTTTTTGGCTCATCAGAAGCTGTCTGTAACTGCTTTGAGGAATGAATATTTTCTAGAATTCTTCAATTACACACCTCAAATTTAACCTGAGGGGGAGGGGATCATTTCAAAGTTGAGAATACCAGTCTATTTATTCTATTTTGAGGATATTTGATTTAAAAAATAATCTTAGTTCCTGCTTTTATTCTGTTTCCTGTTATATTACACACAATGTTGTGATTGTAAAATTCTTAAGAGTATTTTGGCAATTTGAAAATTTTGGGTTGATATGTCCCCATGGAAGCAATTTGACATTCTATGAAAATTATTTCTATTGGGACCAGCAGTTAGTGTAATGGCTATGTCGCTGGACTCCCATGTAGTCAACCACAGTTCAAGTCCCGGACCCGGCGCTTAAACTCATGGCAGGAACGTGTGTGTGCGTGCCCAAGATCCCAAGAGGAGAATGGAGGAGATGGGATTGCGGCGTGGTCATCCCCCCCACAGGGTGATTTTTTGCTTTCTGTCTCTCTGTCTCTCTCTGTCTTTCTAGCAAGCTCATGCGCCCTGTAGCGAAAAACCTCTCAAAAAAAAGAAAAAAAAATGGAAAAAAAAAACCAAATAAACAAAAACAACTACTTCTAGTAATGGTTGTAATTGCCATTTTCAGCACTCCCTATGACCTACTATACTCTTGTTAAATGCTTTAAAGATACTATTTTATTTAACCTTCCTATATCAACAACCCTTATCAAGTGAGTATTGCGATATGTGTTTTATAGATAAGGAAACTAAGCCTAATTCAACTCAATCATGTAATTCTAGGGACAGACCAAACTTGATTTAGAACTCTGATATGTCTGACACCCATGCTTTGTAATATGTAGAAAAGATTCCAATTAAACTTATCTGTAATTTTCATGTGAGTCTGGGTTTTGACCTAATTTTTGTACTTATATATATAAGGGACAAATATTGGAAATAATTATTTTGTGTGAGTAATCCTTCTAACATCATTCATTAAAAGCTTATTTCTGAATGGGGACAAGAACCAAAAAAGTACACAAGTAGTATTTGATCAGATTTTTAGCTCTGCTCTTAACATCTTGATATCAACTGGGCCATTCCCAGTATGCATGCTACCTGACTTTCTAACAGTTAGACTCTAGGAAGATAAGTTAAAAGATAGGATTTAGTTCAGTTGCCACTGAAATCCAAGTGCTAAATTTAAATCTCTACCATTTGTTATCTACGGACCCCTTTGGAACTTAACTTATCTAAATTCTAGATGACTAAAAGAGAATTTTAGTCATCTAGAGAAAAGATAAAATTGCTAAAGCTTCATTAAATTACAAATGATGGAAATCAACCTCAAAATTTTATTCAGTACAAAGTCTGGCATAATATAAGTACTCAATAAAATTTATAATATCATCCTCTTTTTATCATCATTATTATAATTATTACAATTAGTAACCATAATATTTGTTGTTGTTATTCATTACTATGATCAATTTTCTGTGTATGTGACATAGCCTAAGAAAGAATACTCGGTTAAAAGATCACAATGGCAACACAGGAATATCTAAAACATGCTATTTCTCCCATCTCTCCCTTCTTTTTTTCTCCATTCTTTCTACTCTCCTTATATTCTCTATTTTCTTTCTCTGTACCCTTAAGGGAAAGTGTGTGTGCATTCACTTTCTGTATTCACTATGCAAAGACATTTGGGTAAAGATTTTATTATATATTTATATAGATAAAACATATAAAATAAACATCATATAAATATACATATATAAACATGAGGCCAGTCCAGGTTGGGTGATTAAGGCAGCTGGATCTCACATGGCCAACTGTGTTTGAATCCCAGACCCAGTGGCTTGAGAAAGATGCCATGCCTGTGGATGTGTTTGCCCAAAATCCCAAAAGGAGGACCATATGTAGGAGAAGGCATTGCAGCATGACTGTTCTTCAGGGAGGGTGCTTTCTTACTTTCTCTCTCTCTCTCTCTCTCTGACAAGGGCACACTCCATCTAGCAAAGTTAAAAATGCACACACAAACATTCACACATGTATATACAAACATATATACACATGGATATGTGCATTCAGTTGTACCATTTGTGGTAGTCTTGTTCTGCAATGTCACCCCAAACACTGAATTAGTGAATACTGAACCATTATTCCTAGAGGAATACAAGTTGAGATTCCTGTGAGTCTCTGGTCACAAACTTTTTATCAACTGTTCAATATATAATCTTGTTTCATGTGTGTTTGTATTAAAGGATATCCTATTTCATACAGAATATTGCTTTATCATGAAATATATAGCCAATAGCATGATGACTGAATAAATCTACCTAACAATTTTCTCTGTAAGATACATTGCAGCCTTTTGCACTTAGGAAAACAGATCATTCAGCAACACGTGTGAGGGGCTATTTTATGGGGTTTTTTTGGGAAATTTTTTGCTATAGGACGAGTGCACTAGACAGAAAGACAGAGAGAGACAGAAAGCAAGAAATCATTCCCCCAGGGGGAGTGGGATGGCCACACTGCAGTTCCTTCTCCTCCATTCTCCTCTTGGGATCTTGAGCACGCACGCACATGTGCCCAGCATGAATTTAAGCCACCAGGTGTGTGACTCAAACCACAGTTGACTACATGAGAGTCCAGCAACATAGCCATTAAGCCAACTGCTGGTCCTGTGAGGGCTATTTTAAATGGCAAAGTCTCCAACAGAATGTGAAAAAAAAAAGGTACTAAGTACACCATATGAAGGATGCTTGTTTATGGTATGAATTAGAACAGCAGACTGTCATCTTGTTTGACCTTAGATGGAAACTTCTGAAACTGAAATTTTTTACTGTTCTGCACTCGTTCATGACTAACTGTAAAAGTGCTGTGAATATTTATTTGGGGGTTATGAATGAATTTTAGCAAGTAAGCAAATTTTCAAACGTAGGATTTATGAATAATGAGAATTGACTGTTCATGTAAAATGCATCTCTGAGAGTGACAGCATATCATGGGAAAATTTCAATCAGAAATCAAGGCACATACAAAGCATAGCGTGGGTAATTTCAAAAGATACATATAGATAAGAGTGACCTAAGACTTTAGAATATGGAAAATGTCCTAAACCCTTACCCAACACAGAAAGGAATGAAGAAGGGAAGGAAATATTTTAGTTCTGTTTCCTACATAGAAAATTATTCTATTAGAGAAAATAGGCAGAGAGAGAGAGTGGATATTTTTGATGAAATGGCAGAGAGGGGAGATGATGAGGGTAAAGTTAGAGAGGCATAATTGGAGAAAGTGGGATACAAAGGTTGTTGATAAAGCAAAACTTGTGCCTGGGATAGGTATATAATATATCTTATCTCAGTAGAAGATGATGGAAACTGTGGGAGGTGTGAGGACTCCTAGGAAAATAAATAGAGAGAAGAGAGATCATAGATTCAATTATGTACATATGTTTGTATCCAGAAATTTTTGATGAGTTCATCCTATGTGTCAAGAAAAATTCTGAGCACTGAATGTACAGTAGTGAACAATATAGACATATTTTCTGTACAGTACAGACAGATGTTACCCATGTATTAGTGTGTTCATAGTTTTGTAGGTGCTAATGTGGTCAGTAAATTAATAGTAACATAGAAATATCTATGTGACAACTCATGAAAATATTGAAACACAAAGTTACTTCCTCTTTATAATTTTAAAAGTATGTTTTATTCAGGACCAGCAGTTAGCGTAATGGCTATGTCACTGGACTCCCATGTAGTCGACCACAGTTCATGTTCTGTACCCAGTGGCTTAAAACTCATGCTGGACATGTGTGCATGTGTGCCCAGGATCTTGAGAGGAGACTGGAGAAGGGATTGTGGTGTGGCCATCCCCCCTGGGGGGCGTGATTTCTCGCTTTCTGTCTCTCTCTGTCTACCTGGCGAGCATGTTACCTATACAAAAAACCTCTCTAAAAAAAAAAAAAAAAAAAAAAAAAAAGTATGTTTTATTTATGGAATGACCTAGAGGTTTGACAGACACAGAAAAGAATAAAGATATTTTATTTAGGGGTTTTTCCTCATGCAATGACAAGGAATGTCATAAAGCCAATGTACTTGGGAATAAAGTTCATTTTTTTCATGTATTCTAGGTGAAACTCAGAAAATTACTTAATCGGTGTTCTGAGAATTCAAAGTTTCTTGAATCATGCACAGGCTTATCTCTTTCTTCTCTTTTTGAAATTAGTTGAAACACTTGGGGATGGAAATCTGTCAGTAATAAGGAATTAGTCAGGAAAGCCTCTCACAAAAGCCTCTCATAAAAGTCTCCATTTATGAAGTCAAAAAAAAAAAAAAAAAAAGAAAAGAAACCCTAGAAAATCCAGAGAAAAGTTACATATTTTAATTTGGTGGAGATTAAGTTATATTCAGGTGTCACTGTGATAAATAACTAGGCCAAGAATATAACCTAAAATTGTAGTTGAAGTCACATACTGGAACCCTGAATTATCTAAGAATTCTGAGGAATAAAGTTGAGACACAAGAGAGGAGGGATTTACTGTCATCCTGCTCTGCTTTGATTGTCCTCCAATTCTCCCTCAGGAAACTGCAAAGACAAGAAATGTGGTATCTTATAGCA